GGGGGGCGGGGGCTCAGGGTGAGTGTCAAGGTGGGAAGGGCAGCTGAGCAGCCAGCTAGTAGGGCCGGTCTGATCAGTTCAGTCCTGGCACCAAAGGCCAAGGTCAGGCAGAAGCCCAGGAGTGATGCTGAGCTGGAGATGGGGATTTGGGAGGAAGGAAGGAGATGAGCCCCCAAAGCTCGGTGGGTGACCTCAGTCGCCACATTCGTTTCACGTGGGGTGTGGGCATAAGGTCGGTCGGCCTCCTTCCTTAGACAAAATTTTCTACAAGAAAATCCATAAAGCACAATCCTCCTGAAACACACGGACAAGGGAGAAAACTGAGCGATACACACTCAATGATCTGCTTGGCATCCTTCTCAGAAACCTCTTCACTGTTTGGATCCAGAAGTATTTTCTCTTCCGTGTCCTGCCGACTGGACTCCTCCTCTTCATCCTGGGGAGGGAACAAAGACACAGGAAAGAGTCCACTTTCGCGAGGGAACCTCGACGGTAGGCATTTTCTGAAAAGCGACTGGGTGGTACTCAACTTCACCGACAGAGGAAACACAATTAAGGGAGGAAGTAAATGTAATACTTACCTGAACCAGGCAATACGCCATTCTATTTCTGTTTAAATCATTGAATAAGAGAATAAGAGAAACCCTCTGAGGATCCCTTAGAACACCCACTCCCAAGAATGAATATGGAAAAGTCATGGCAGATGGGTATTTATCATTGTTTGGTTATCAGAGTCCTGCAGACCGTATCTTCTCTCACTTAGAAACATTCTAGAGCCTTCTCTCCAAAGCCAGACTTTAGAGGCTTACTATGATCCTTCTCATAAAAATGCTCTCTGATAATGCCAGTCGTCCCCCATGCATTCAAGGTAGAGGGGCTGGAGCTTGTGAACACACTGCCTTCTGTGACTACTTCACATCATATATTTCTGAATTTAGATTAAAACTGTCAATAGCTTGGCAAAGGACTCACTATCTCCACCTCTCAACTGTGTACTATGATCTGCTGATCTGTTTGAAAGCTTCGCTATGTGCACTACCAACCACTGGTGTTGAAGGCTCAGCCCTTCCAGATAGTCCAGGAGAAATTCTTTAAAAGCAGGTTTCAAGAGAATAATGCTTTCCCACAACTGCTGAACGAAAACATATGAACCGACATGATGTTAACACTGACAACCAAACCTAGGACAACAGATCATTGAGATGCTGGGGGTCTGGCAAGGAGGCAGTACAGGTCTTTCGTTTTCCAGGCAAGGGATGAAGTTCTTTAAGGGGAACATGACTCGCCATGAGTGGGAGACCCAAGATGAGGACTCGGGGTTTCTAGACCCCTGGGTCAGAGTTCACTCTATTCCCGGCTGCCTAGAGCTGTCTGCAGGGGTCAGTCTTGGGCTGATAGCTGGGGGTTCAGCAGCCTACTGTATCTCATCTCTGTCCCTCCCTGGTTCTCTTACTCAATGACAAGATGCTTCCAATGGGTCACTTATGGACATACTCATCCGAGTAAACAAGAAACACTTTTAAAATTGATTTTGTAAGCTTCAAAGACCTTGGAACAAAAGTGGCCTATAAAAAATAAATAGCATGCAACCCAAAGCAGTTTAATGCGGTGCTTTTTTTTTAACATAACTTTTATTATTTTTCCTCAACATAACTTTTATTTTTTTCCTCTTTGTAAAAGTTAACAAGTGTTCATGGTAGATTCCTTTGGGGAAAAAAATGGGGGGGGCACAAAACAGAAGAAAATGACAATTGTCTTAAAACTCTGGTGAGCTATATGACCCAGTCTGTGGATCTACGCCACAGCACTTTCTGAACCAAGATTCTTCCAAGGCTGGCAAACAGAATTAATGACCACTCAATAACAATGCTCTCATAAAGGAGATAAAAGTCTTCTTTTAACCCTCCTATATGTAATTATTAAGCATTTTGCAGTTGATCTAAAAAAAAAAAAAAACCTTTACTATTATTTTTTAAGTTCTGTTAAAAGTGTCCAAAATTACCATCCCAGGCTCTAGATGTCCTGACTGCTCCCTCCAAGAGACTGAGAAACATGCTTCTCCTTGGGTCATGGGTATATCCAAGGAATTCAAACCAGAATCATGTTTAAAGAGAAACCAAGAGGGTCAATAACCTCATTCAAACAAGCCCATGTTGCCCTTTCGTCTAAGTCTCCAGGTGTTTGACTGCAAATACACTCTAAGGCTTACAGGACTGCAGAAACCTTCAGGTGACTAAGTCTCAGTGCAAACCAGGTAAGGCAAGGCGCTGCCTTCCCAAAGTAAACCATCTCCAATTCTCCCCCAAAAGACCGTTCTGTCCCCTCCAACGTAATGTCAGCTTCTGTTTTCTTGGATTCATATAAATTTAGAATTCACCAAGTTTCCCCATTGGCCACGAGCCCCCGAGAGGTCACTGTACCGTGGGGATTGTGCCATCACGGCTTTGGCTCATCCCTCAGCCCCAGGCGTCCCCCAAAGGCCAACACTGGAGGAAGACGCGACAGACAGACACGGTGCCTCCCCCATTAACTTTCAAACCCATACACTCCAAACACAGGTGACTACATACCTCCTCCTCGTAATCAGAATCACTCTCTTCACTGTCGGATCGGGGGGCGACTTCGTAACTACAGGAAAAGGAGTGGGAAGAAGAGGGGGCTTAGTTTTTTTTGTTTTTTTTTTTT